TCCGTCAAGGCTGTCCACTATCCCCATTTTTGTTTAACTTCATTATAGACCTGTTGCTGGAAATAACACTCTCTTCGACTGAATTTACAGGAATTGATCTCCTACCAGGGGGACCACTAAGCGACTTAGAATACGCAGATGACATAGTCCTGTTTGGTGAAGACGCTGACAAAATGCAGAGTCTTCTGTTGGAACTCAGTAATAATGCCAGGATGTTTGGGAGGCGTTTCTCCTCATCCAAATGTAAATTGTTACTCCAGGACTGGCCTACGTCAACACCCGAACTAAGGATAGGGAGTGAAGTAGTCGAAGGCGTCGACAACTTCACTTATCTTGGAAGTCTGATCAGCCCTAATGGGTTGGTGTCTGACTAAATCTCAGCACGGATTCGAAAAGCTCGTTTGGCTTTTGCCAACTTACGCCACCTATGGCGAAGACGAGATATTCGTCTATCAATTAAAGGACGAGTATACTGCGCATCAGTTCGCTCTGTTCTATTTTACGGCTGTGAAACATGGCCATTAAGAGTAGAAGATACTCGTAGGTTACTAGTATTTGACCACAGATGCCTTAGAAATATTGCTCGCATCTGCTGGGATAACCGGGTAAGTAATAGTGAGGTTCGACGCAGGGTATTAGGGAACGATGGTAAATCAGTTGATGAGGTGATGAATCTTCATCGACTGAGGTGGTTGGGCCATGTGTTACGTATGCCTGAACACCGATTACCACGACGCGCAATGCTGACTAGTGTTGGGGATGGTTGGAAGAGAGTTAGGGGCGGCCAAACCAAAACATGGCATCAGTGTTTGAAGTCACTTACTTCTAGTCTGAGCCATGTTGGCAGGTGCAGACTACCTGGTTGGGGTCCGCGTGACTATCGTAACCAATGGTTGGAGACTCTGGGTGACATGGCTCAGAATCGATCACAATGGCGTAGGTGTATACACTCTTTATCTTCCCTTAAACCTTGAGACTAAAATTGCTTCATATCTCTCTTCCTTCCTGTACTATATCTTTATATACAACCTATAATTTATATACTACTACCACCACTAAATTAATTACTTCTATGAATCCAGTGTTCATCTTGTTGTGCTAACGAGGTATGGCAACTTGGACCGATGCATAAATGTGCCTGGTCCTACGTTGTAGCTGACTGACTGAACACCTTCTGTAATCGAATCGCACCCACTCAGTAAAATCAAAAATCAGAAGCGAGGAGGTTGGAAGATATATTTGATGGATTATCAATTTATCTTCCAACCTCCTCGCTTCTGACTTTGGACTTTTACTGGGTGGGCACGATTCGATTATAGGTTTTACTGGTAAAGTGCTGTCAAACTACAATACCGGTGGTATCTTCAATTTCTATTATGACAATCCAACTGATTTGATAAGATACTTAACGTTGAATTTGGCACATATATGGGGCGATTACAGTTGCTACACCACATTAGCACAGCAGCATGCTGAATGGGCACAAGTAACAACATTATTAGCGGTAGTATAAATGAATAGACAGAAGTGGCTGGAGAAGGGATTATTTATTCATGGAATTAAAGAAAAGATCTTACGGTGATTAAGAAACTTGGGTTCTAAGGGAAGAATGAATGCATACGCTTGCGCTACTGTAAACAATTTTGACCTGTCACCATAAGTCTCCGACCACTGACCTCAGTTGTTGTTCGAACCCAAACCCAGTAATTCGCATCTTATAAAATCGCCCAAGACTAACAGACACTGACTTCATGAACTGGCACCATCCTGGTTTAGTTACTCATAAGTCTTTCAAATCACTCCTACCCTAGCCAAAATTGCGCATTGAGGTATATGGTGGTCGGGCATAAATAATACATATCTTAACCACCTCAGTGGATGAAGATTTGTTGTCTCATCAATCGACTGATCACCTTTAATTGGTACCTTGAGCTTAACCACAGCATTCCTCACTTGGTGATCTTAACATACACGAGCCATGTTTCAAAGGCATCTATGATCGAATACTAATGACTTGTAAGTATCGGCTATTTTTAAAGACTGATTTTCGCACCTACAGAGCAAAACATAGTGAATTGCTGTGTAGTATACTTGCACTCTAGTTGATAGGCAGACACTCGCCAACCCGACAGGTGACGTAAGTTGGAAAAGTCAACCGAGCTATTTGAGTCCGTGCAGAAACTTCGTCAGACATCAAGCAATTAGGTCTGTTGACTACTTCACTCCATTTTTAGTTCAGGGGATTAACACAGACCAGTCCTGAAGCAATATTTCGCATTTATGTACAAATCTTCCCTTTTATTCTTTAGTCAGACTTTGCATTCAGACGGAGGGAAACACATTCTAACTATTCTTGCATTATTTCTCAAGGGGGTTAAAAAGCTTTGCATCTTATCAGCGTCTTTATCAACAAAGCCTGTGTTATTGGTGTATCATAAGTCAACAAGTGAATCTCTTAGTAAGAAATCAATTCCTGAAAAATCAGAGGATGAAGGCGTCAACGCTAAGAGAATTTTGATGACACAGTTACATAAAAATGGAGAGAGCGGACAATTCCGACGAATATATATATATATATATATATATATATATATATATATATATGACCAAAATAGGATAACCGCAAGTTACTTGTGGGTTAGCAGGTGGATGATCAACGATGAAAGTGAAAATTAGAAAGATAATCAAAATAATATTCTTCAGCCTGTTTTTATTTGAAAAGTGTTTTTACTTGGACTTTCATCCCCACCGTTGAAATTACTACAAATCTTTTTCGTTCACTTATTCATGTTGCGTTGTGAAGTGTGACAACTTGGAACAGATGCGCATTTGTACCAGGTCTATAAGTTAGGCTAAGGTATTAATTAAACATGGCAAATCGATTGTCAAGGTGATGAGTCTTCATCAGCTGATGTGGTTGAGACATATTACGTATACGTAACTACCATCCATCTCGACGGGCGATGTTGCCTGGTGTAGTGGTAAGTTGGGGGGAAAGCTAAACCAAAACATGGCATTAGTCCATAAATTCACTGATAACTGGGCTGATCCACACCAACAGGTATAAACTACCTGGTTGAGATCTGTGTGACTATCGAAATCAGTGGCTGGACTGTGGGTGACATGGCTCGAAATCGTTCGCAATAGCGTAGGTCCATTCACTACTTATTTTCCTTTAGAATCTGAATCCCGAAACCTGTCTGTACGTTTATTTCCCTTTTCTATATTTAATCTTTACTGTTATTACTACTGATACTGTTACTACTCCTGTTACCCTGGGATTTGTCTTGAAATGCTTTTATCTCCTTGTGCGTGTGTAATATTGGAAAGTGACCCGATGTACATGTCAGGTTTTACGTTGCATATGATTGACTGCGATCCTTAAGCTGCTAGTGAATATAAAAAGACGGAACTGATATTGCAAGAATGTGGACAGGAGTAATTAGTTTTCTACCTTCTTCAGGGAGTATTTCAGTCTGAATATGTAGCTAATTGAAACAAGTGAACGACACTGTTGTTATGCCCCGATAAGGATAATGAATGGTAACTTTTGAGAACTATTTATGGACCAATATGATACATATATCTTTATTGTATAATTGTTAACCAACTAAACTATTCATATTCATTTCCCTCTTATTACAGGCTTTGTTTTGAACTGTGAACTGTTGTTATACGATTTACCATTTCTGAATTATAGCCTGTCTATTATCTACTATCTCCCCTATTCATAGACACGTTTGACTGAATCTGATACAAATGTTGTTTCTTATTTTATGGTACGACGTAATCAGTTTGATTGGTATATAAACTCAGTATGTTTGAAACATAATGATTCATACCCGCGGGCTGTTATTAGTGTTTTGGACTTAACTGGGTGGGCTAGGCTAAGTACTCTAGACTGCTGATATGGTTTCCGTGTATTACTGGTCCGGTCGATAAATCACTGCTCTCTGATTGGCGGTCTTATCACGTTCATACGTGAATAGGGCATCCACTCGGCCACAAGTTATAACAACTGTACATTGGTGTAATGAATTAGCAAAATCACCATGTGATTGTGTGAAAATATTTAGACATGCTTTTCATCCTTTGAGCTCCGGACATATTTGTATCGGCAAGTTTCCTTATTTAACGTTGAATATATTACCTACTTAACTCGTTAAGGACACCAGTCTTGGTAGATTAGAAAGTGACGAAATCCGGTCATAGAGCTAGGACGAGATTGCTAAAATACTAGCTCAGTGAAGATATTTGTTGTCCGCTTTGTTTCCTCATACAGTTAAAAAGCATAGTTGTTGAGGCCGCAAATACTCAACACTTCTCCGGCGAAATCACAGAGTGAAGTCTCTAGAGATTGATTTCAAGGGTTAGTAACTTCTTAAGTGTTGCTTCCAAAATAATTTGTGCCCATGTTTTGCTTACTAGTACATAACTCAAAAGATGAACGGATTGATTAGTTTACTTGCTTTGGAATTATTAGTTTTAGTAATACTGATAACTACGTGGCGAAGGCAATCAAGTCAGTCAGTGAAATGGAACGTAAAACTTGGCATATGTGTTACATAGGTTCAATTCACCAAACCCCATTAGCACAGCGAAATAAAATTGTTAAGACGAATCCCGTAGTAGTAAAAGTAGTAATAATACTAGTGGTAACAGAAAAGATTGGGCATCGAAGATACAATTCGAGAAAGTGTAGATTAACGGGGAAAAATTTGTGATAAATTCAGAAACTTAAGTGGAAACAAAGATTGCACCTTCGTTACTGAGATGTATTCCGAACCATGTCACCCAAAGTCTCTAACCATTGGTTACGGTAATCACGGAACCCAAACGGGTAGTCTGCACAAATGAAAATTCGTTTAGTGTTTGGCAATATTGCTTTCCTATTCCGAACAATCTCTAGAATACTGGATAGTTTTAAAAGCTATATAACTTAACACCTACGAACAATGTAATACAAAATCTTACTAGTCAGTTTAGTAGTGAATACCTACCTGGGAAACATCAATCATCCAAACTTTTCCATCAAGATATAGTAAGTTGTATTCGCTTAAATCGGCGTGGACTAAGCGGCACTTTTGAAACAATGTTCGTATATCATGAATAACTTGAAAGTACAAGGCAGCCCAATCGGGGGTATCTTTGCAATCGCTTTCTTGAAAACAAACATCCTTTAACTTTGGGGCGGGAATACCATCCTTCCCGACAAACGTCATCAATAGGACAACGCCTTTCAAACGTAGAGGTTTGGGGGCACTTATTAAACCCGATTGATTTATTCGGAGTAAATTACGATATTCTTTTTCACTCCATTTACATACAAGCTTCCAAGATGTTGACTTTGAGTAACCATGACGCATTCTAAAATCGCCCTTCACGTATTTATCGCGAGATTTAAATGGCATTATTGATGTCATATAAACTTTGATAGCGAAATCCACATTATCTTTATTTTTTACATGATATATGTTCGCTTCTTTCCCTGAAAACATCGAAAAAATAAGTAGTAATCAAACACTCGATGAGATAAAAGTGGAAAACCCCAGTAGTATGTAGTGAAAGACGGGAAAGGCGTAACATTATTATTAATTTGTCGGCTGATTTATGTACCCAGTTAAGAGCTATATATTAACTAAAAATGTTCCACTAAAAAGTTTGACCAAATGTAGAAAAATATACGTAGCTTTTCTGTTCTCTTGCCTATTAAGAGGCTATCTCAGATATATGATAAAACAGTGCAATCTTCTGAATTGAACGCTAATAAAAAAATCTTGGTCAAATCACAGGTATCTAAGAAAGCGGTGGCAGTTAATAAACCGCATACCTATCAGAACCAAAGGATTTCACAAACTTGAACTAACTAATAGGGTAACAATTTTCAGCTGTGGAGTGAAACAGGCTGGGGCCTTATAGGTGGCCTTGATTGAAGCGGTGAGAAACCATGAGTCACAGCACAGGAATGAGACTATATCTATAAAACACCTAGTATGTTTTTTTTCTTCTGACGTCTGCCCAATTTCGCGTTTATGTTGCCGAAAACTCCTTGGGCAATAACTATGCTGTGTAATATTTAGGAAACTATTGTATTGTGTATCGCGACTATGCTATTTCCATCTGCACTTCTTTGTTTAAAACACCACTGTTACTATATTTTAATAACGAGATTGTGGGTGAAACAAACAGTATCAATTCAACAAAACAACATAAATTGCCAACTTTCATAACCATACACCTCCAAGTAGCTGAAAAACCTTGACGAACTAATGTGATATTTTCCCACGTAACACTATACTGTAGTAAAAACTCATGTCAACGAAACAAAATTTATCTTGATTATTTGCACACCACAAACGCGGCGTGTGAATAATTTACATGAATAAGCAGTAGATATCAGGCAACACAAAGAAACAAATTTAATAATTGGAGTCTAATAAGAATGGCTTGCTTTTCTAAATATTTTCTTGAATCTCATACTTGTTGTCACAAAACGATTTATCAGCAAAATCGAAAGTGTGGAAACTAGGAATAAATTGCCAGGAATATGAAATAAGCCCGCAGTTTGTGTCCTGACTCATATCATTGCCCACAAAAGCGTCAGGTAAAATTATTCGCTGATGCATTTGCAGCGGAAATAAAAAGCAGTCCCGGTAAATTCTAACAAGAGTGTGGTGATGCAATTAAATAACCATGATGATTCGTATAACTACACAATACGTGGAGTTATGTTACTCAAAGTAATGGAACATAAAGATCTAAGAATCATAATAAGGCTATCGAAGGCTAAAGGGTATTATGGGCTATTTGTAGGTTTTTTCAGTACATGGATGAATAAATGTTTAGAACATTATGTCCGACTTTCCTGAGACCGCATTTGGAATGAGGTTCTTATCTCAAGTACGAGGTGGATATTCTGGAACGAGTTAAACGACGAGGGACTAAGACGTTGAAAGGTCTCTCTGATCTATCTCAATAAAGACTGGGATACCTAGCTTGTTTCTATTATCTTGCTGCAGATATTGGCTTATAGTATACCGAATGATAGTCTCGGTATGATTATGTTTTATCTTTTCCTTTTATTTAGGACTGATCATTTGATAGGACATTCGAAGAAAACTCAAAAACCGAGATTAAATCATCTACGTCTGCAGTTTCGTTTCTCACACCGAGTAGTGAATTGCTATAATCATCTACCAGAACACGTAATATCAGCACCTTCTGTCAACATATTCAAAACTATATTGGACCTTCACAGTTACAAACTGTAAGGATTGATATAAGTCCATTAACCTCCTACCCTTACTATTGAAGACTGGAGACTTACCTGTACTAATACACCCATTAACTTCACTAAATATTTCCTGATTCATCATTTTGAATAGTATGGAGCACGATCTTCTGTCGAGAGCATGATCAGTCGTTGCCTTGTCGCTTTTATCTTTTAACTTCCTCTCATTTTTCATTGAAAAATCGACTTTGCTTTGAAATTTCTGCATATATAACTTAGTAGCGTTGTTACTTTCACCATCACTTTCTGAAAGATCTAAATTATCATATGCTTCATCCAACGAAGACCATAAACTCATAGTTCTTGAAGAGATACTCAAAGTCATGCGTAGTAACGCACTGTCTTAAACCATGTGACCCTCAAACTTCACTCTGCAAAGGAGGATCGGTTCAAAAGGTTCAAATGGTTGTGGACGAAATAGAAGAAGCTTTCGTTTAACGGGCTTCCGTGTCTAGTAGTGTTGGATCACCAATACCTCCAGTCAAGAACGATAATACAGAAAAAAAATTGATAGGTCATAGTAATTACTATCTTAAGATACTATCCTCAGTCCTTAAGAATAGGTCAAGTTGCCTCTTGAAAAACTCCTCGGAAGTCTATTGAACTAGCTTAGCCGTCAGCGAATTCCAGCGTCTGACTACTATTAAGGGGTAGAAGTTGTGTCTACAGTCCATTATGCGGTGCTGTGTCTCCAGTTTCTGGGTGTTACTCTTTAGGTTTGTGTTGGGAAGAATACTAAGTAGGTGTTTAAGATGATATCCAAAAGCGTTCAAGATGCTGTAGATCATAAGAATGTCACCTCTAAGACACCTGTACTCGAATGGATAAATGTTCAGTAATTGGAGGAGCTCTTCATAAGGCTTGAATTTGTGTCATCGAACTGATTTCGTGACTCGCCGTTGTATACGTTCCAAAGTGTCTTTACTCTTTTGGAGTAGAGGAGGAAATAATATGTTTCCGTACTGTAAATGGGGAGGAATAAAACTGTGGAAGATTATGTGGACCTGGCTGAAAATGCGCTCCAATGTTACCAGTGCAATATTTGCTCGAAAGGCATTTTAGTCACAGTCAGCGTATGACTTCAAATCGTAGGGTACCAGCACTCTTTAATCTTTTTCAGCTTAAGACACTGAAGAAAAAAGTTAACTAAGTTTTAACTGTAGTCTCAGATGGACTACTTTACAGCTTGAAGCGTTAAATGTAAGTCCGTTGTCACTTGTCCAAATTTGAAGTCGAATAACACCCTCCTGAAGTGCCGGTATATCCTCCTAGTTACTTATCTCTCTCCAACTATTCACATCCTCAGCAAAATTAATAAATCTGACCATACCTGCTGCGGGGGAGCATTTATATAAATCAAGAAAAGAAGAGGTCCCAGTACTGAACCCTGGGGGACCCCACTAGGACATTCCATAGCCCGAGAGGAAGTGAAGTTAACCCTGACCTTAAAGTGTTTATTTTTTAGATATAAAGTGATCTAGTCAATTAGAGTTGGTTCGATATCCAATCGTTTGATTTTATTTATAAGACATATGTGGTTGACCCTATTGAAGGTCTTTGAGAAGTCAAAGTAAATGACGTAATCAATTTGTTCTTTTAAATCTTAGTCTTGGTGGAAGAAAATTTTCTCAGTTGCAGAGAGCAGTAACACTTATAGGTGACTTCTAAAAACTGAAGAGCAAAAACAAATTAAATAATAATAGAAGTGATCAGGGAGTTCAAATGGTTCGGACTTCGATCTTCAATAGAATGGAGAGAAGGCCTAACAATCGTTATCTGTACTCGCAATCTGTAGTTCTATGAAGATCAGACCTCAGTCTTAATATGTCAAGAGAAGTTGCAGATATTATGTCTTCGATTAGATAATTCCAGTAATTCACTACCTGATGTGGGACACAAAACTCCTGAAGTAGATGATTTGGTCCTGGTGTTTGAATCGTCTCAGAATGACCTATAATGACAAACGAAGTAAGAAATAAGACATATGGACACCAAAATCATCTTTCAGTATACGGCCGATCAGTACTAAGTCACCATGTAACTTTCGGTAAGATAATGGAAATAAGTTGAGGTGTCACAGACTGTCTTCATAAGACTGAATGGAGAGAACTCTTTCCACTTTTGTCCTTCGCAGTTGAGCTCGTTCTAATTTATCCGTCTAACACTTGAAGAAAGGACTGAGCGCTTGAATCCCATATTCCAAATGCGACCTCACAAAAGTCGAATGTAACACCCTTGATATTTCATTTAAATGCTGAAGTGATTTACGAATACTCCGTAAGACACCGAAGACTTCAGCAGTGGAAATCTTGAAGTCAATCATTATTCTAAGGTCGTTGCTTATTACGATTCCTAAATTCTATTGGTCCCATACTTAGGGTAACACAGCTTCCCTTATTGAGTGATGACATGAATCGTCACATCCACTTTTTTTGCATCACTACACTCTTATCAAAATTGATTTCTAATGACCACCTACAAATCCATTTAACCAGTTAATTTAGGTCGTCCCGTAGTATTGTTCCGTCTGACATAATATGTATAGGTCTCTGAATCTTCTTGTTTTCAGAAAATATTGAAACAGACGACTCTGCTACAATTAGCAGATCGTTTTCCTAAAGTGAAAAAGCAAGACTGTCAAGGATTTTACCCCGAGCAACTTCACTCATCTCAAACTTCCATTCTAGTAAATGTACCTGCCGCCATTTATCAACGAAAAATTCACTTACCCAATTTTCGATTACAGAGTAGATTTCCAAATTTTCCAGTTTTATTTTAAGACCTAGGTGAGAAGATTTGTCGAAGGCTTTACTTAGGTTTATGGAAATTAGATTTCCATGAAATGCTACTGTCTTCCACTGCAGTTCAATCTTCTCTTTTGTAACATTTATCAAGCATGAGTCCTTTCCTAAAATACTATGTTCATTGACCAAACGATTATTCCCTTCCATATAGTTTAGAATAGCCATCCAAATAATATTTTCTGTTAGTTTGACGACTATTCTGGTCGAACTACCGAGTTGATAGTTACTGAGAGGCTCTTCAAACTACCCTACATTATAAACCGGACTGATGATTGAATCCTTCCGGTTTCTTGGCAGTTTACAATGCCTAAGATATACTAAACGGTATTGCCAAAAGTTCAGCAATTACATCCTCTAGAGTTTTCATAATCCTAGGATGAATATCATCAAAAACACTGAAATTATGTGGTCCATGACGTTGAAGTAATTGCAAGACAGAACCCTTTCAATATCCACAGGATCCATCGACAGGCTGCCATTATTAATTAATTGTTGGTCTCACCATTTTCGGTAGAATAACTTTCCGAAAATACTTCGGCTTTTGTGACACCACTACTTGACGATATTGGCGTATTTTCTTAGAACGAAAGTGGTGGGATCCCTTCATTTTGTATATGAGGATAAGCTTGTTGGACTGTTTCCAGCGTCCACAACTGATTGCTTTTCATATGACGACTTAGCCCTACTTACCAACGCTTCATATGCGTTCCTAGTTTCACAATAAGTGGATCTGTAACATCCAGAGTCTGTAGAAATCGACATTTTCCAGTGTTTGGACCCACGTCTTGGAAGTTTCTTAATCTCTATAGTTACCTACGGAAAGCAGTCATTACGTCGGCGTGGTACTAAGCATGGTATAAACGGGGATGTAAGTAAGCTAAGTGTACTTCTAAATATAGATCATGTTTCTTTAATTGATGAGATGGTATCTGCTGACCAGTCCGTTGTCGTAGCACATCCATGTATAGCCATCATGTTTGCTTTTCAGAAATTTTGTCGACGTCGAACCTGACCATAGACTGAGTCACAGTATCGAAACTTAAACGACAGAACATCATGATCACTGTTAGCTAACAGCGAGAAAATGTCTCGACGGGCAACGTTCTCGGCCTCATGAATGATCACTGAATCTAACAAAAAAGCCATTTGTTTGAACCGAAGCGTGCGGGCTTGGACATATGCTGAATTAAGGCATTCTCTATTACTGTAACCGAGAGGCTAATATCGAGAGAGTTTTCAGATGCAACGAGAGTCATTTATCTCCAATTGATATCAGGTGCACTGAAATTTAATACACGTCATCTGTCACATGCTCCATAGAGAAGTATTCTCGATAATAAAGTCACCAGCTAAGCATACTGGGCTACGATAGATGACACCAAATATAGATGCATGATCTTCAAAAGTCAGTTCACAGCTATCAACTTCATGAGACACGCTATTATGAGACTCACAAGCAAAGAAACGTATCTTCATACCACTACTTGTGTATATAGGGCCCCCACTCCCATTCATGTCACTCCTCAGGTAGGTTTACTCCAGTGGTTCTTGGGTGGCATCAAAGTCACGGGCTACTCAAGTTTCAGTTATGGGTACGGTGAGCGATTTAATTCGTTCACGAGTGCTCCTAGTTTGTAAACTTTAATTCCCAGACTACCAGTAGTCCTAAAGGGAACAATCTTTCCATATATATCTTGGTAGGATTCACTCCCAAGATCTGACTACTTGAAAACCCACTCAGTGGAATTTTTCTTTAACATTTTCTCGACATGTTTCTAGTTCGACTGGTGACGTCTTCTTTTTCATTCTATCTCCTAGAGAAAATTCAAGGTAATTAACTGTCCATTTCCCTTCTTTCCAGTATACCCTATCAGAACTACTTGGAATGGTGACAATTTATCCGGGTCTTCAAGCACTACTTTGGAATCTTGACCACCAATATCCAGCGATATTTCACTATTTGTTTTGTTTCAAGGATTTTCCTTTTCTCTGTTTTACAGTCCACTGGCTTGGTTTGCTTCGTAATAACACTTACTACACTGACGCATTTTTCTCTGTTAGTACCCATGCTGCCAGTGCAGCCACCATCAACTTTCTTGTTGGCCAGTGACAAAAACCCATCACCTCTTTGGTCAGTAATGTCCTACTCGAATGAGGAAATGCGCAAGACGAATAAGAAGTTAGACTCCAAGCATCTTTTGTATGAGGTGTGATTCAAACGAGTATACATTTCGTGGAACCACTTGCTTCGCTCATCACATTGCATTTTCCTCTCCTCAGGGAAGAAATAATCTGGGGGACATTCCAATTGTTAACTGAAAAATTCTAGTCAAAATATACTAAGTATGCTCCGTATGCAATATATATATGTATACAAAAGTAAATTTATTTCACAAGTAGGAAATCACTACCCAGTCTTAAAAAGTGAGAAAAATAATGTAAACAAAGTAGAAACAACCGCTTAACAGGCTTTCTGGTAGCAAGGGATAGTCGGTACTCCTTGGCATGGAATAAGGTATGCCTAATAGGCAAGAGAGTGTAACACGTGAAGTGATACCCTTCAATTTCTACAGAGCTATTGACATCATTGAGCTTTCTGCTAGGAAGCTCGGCAGAATATGCCCAAACTATATCTTTTCGTAGGGAGTTCCATAACTTACTGAATTGAACTGCAAAACGTTTGCATGAAATTATGTACCAGCTTCCCCATATTCTGTCATGAGTTCATATTATTCTAATGTTCACTTAGGACTCAAACCTTTCAGTGGTTTATTTCGGTGAAAAAATTCACAAGCAATATGACAAGTCAAGATCATGTCCTCTCTGATCTCTGTATACTACGATGGTTGTTAGTTAAGAGCTTTCAGACGAACTAAATATGATTTTTTTTAGTGCGAGTACCTTTCAAATTGTTTTTCTTTGAACACATCCCTAGTGGATGACACAATTTTTTAGGTAAGAAGACATAATGCGAGAGGTATTGCTAGACGAGATTTCAAGTAAACACTTGAAGCCTTTTGAAATAAATCTAGATTAATGATATTAGGTGCCCTATAAGGGAACCCCTGGGGTGAGTGTAATATTGGTTGCAGCCAGAATATAGCCAACTAAAATATCTCATGGGAAGATACCCATGTAATTTTTGTTGGCAGAATGTGTGACACTGAAATCTTCTAACAGCATTATTGCTTCTCGCCATTAAGAATTAAGTTGGATGAGATTTTTTATATTTTTGTCAAGGACTTTACGTAAATCTTTTGGAACAGTAGAGATGTGGTTTGAACTAAGTATCTTCCACCATGTCAAAAAACCATCTGCTTAAATGAACGTTTGAGAGCTTGAAGGATCAGTCAGGTCACCAGTGAGAAGTATGGAGAAGTGACATAAGGATCGAGACTTATGCAGCTCACTTTTCTTGGAATAGTTTTCGCCAAATGAAAGTGTTGTTGGACGGGATAAATTCACCTATCATAACTATAACTGAAACTTTGCTGGTCAATGACTCAAACTTTACTTTAAAACCGTTGGGGTGTACCTTCCAAAGAAGTGGTTAGAGTAAGTGTCGAAGAGAGTGGGTTCCTGCACAAAAAATCATTCATAACTCTTTGTTCTTAGGTCCCGAGAAAACAGGACTTGTAAAGTCACCGTTTGTGTACCCGTTATTGAGGTTTTGACATCTGTACTGAATATCATTCATATTAATAAACTTGAAGTGGTATTGGTTCTGACCATTCAATCCTCAAAATTGAACATGCGATAATTGGGAAGATAGTTATTCGACATTTAACACGTAGAGAAGGCCAACAAGGGTGAACGCTAGAATTTTCACGCACTCAATCGGATGGCGTGTATCAGCCTCGTAGACATGGTTGTAACGTCCAATTATGAGTTTTCGCCCGTTCCAACTATTGAAGTACTGACCGTCGATTTTCGCAAATCACGAACCCAAGTAGGCAAGAGAACCAAAACTCCAAATTAGATACCAGGTTTATTCGCAATTCACAAATAATCGACCAAAGTCGTTCTAACAACAATAATTATGATAATCACAAGACAAACCTTCAATTTTGTATGTTCCCGGAGCAAAAACTCCCAAATATCAAACCAATGACAAAAGAAAAAAATGACAAAAGTAAAATTGATGTACAATGAAAAGGTTTTAATCAGCCAAATGTCTTCAGTTCTCGCGTAACAATGGTCATCATGTATAACTTGTCTTTAGTCACATTAAATATATCATCCTATCTTCAGCCTAAGTATGTTCTCCCAAAGTACTAAGTATCATACTGTTAATTGTTACGATGTGACAAATCAGTGTAGACAATGATGTGACTCCCACATAAGATCTTACGAATCTACGATCTTAGGTTTAGGCCTATTATTAGAGCAGTACTGACAACTAAGTAGACCACCATTCTACAAACCCAATGGTATTGAAAATATGTGATGTTAACAAGGCAAAAGTCCTGTTAAAACATTTCAATAAAGTGTTTTTGTCCCATCTTCAGTCCATCTACTTGCTAGTGCACAGAAGAGAATTTGTTTCGATTTAGTCTAAGATCGTGACATGACAGACCGCCATGTCTAACCTAGGGGCTAGCCGATGTTGAGTGGGGGATCATCACATTTTACTAGCCATTAATTTTGGCGATCAATCAGATAAGTGCATTAATTGGGGAATGCGAATTGTTTCAGGCATCATTGTAGGCCAATATGGATGCTTTGTTTTGGTTAACGTTCTGCTTCGTTGGATTTGCAGTTGCATTGGAGTTGCTGGTTTCTGAGATGATTCAAATTCAATTAATATAACTGTTTTTATATTGTTTTAGTGTGAGCTGGATTAAATTCCCCATCGTCTGTGACAATGGAGGAATGTGGTGAGTTGATGAATTTAATTCGTGAGCGAGCAGCTTTGAGGACATGTCTATGAAGAAATCGAAGCCGCTAAGAGATTGGAAGAGAGCAATAATTAGTCAGTCTAGAAAACGGATGACTTGTTATTTTAATGCTCAGCATTTCGTTAGACACATAAACAAAGAGGCTTTACTGCACAACACGGAAACAAATTGAAGCTCGGGATTAAACTGTTTAAGCACATAATAGTGTCATCATTCGATGGAGGAAAATGGGTGATGTAATGCTTACATAAAATATGGAAAAACGAATTTTAACTTATAAATATAGCGTTTTTGATCACATTGCAGATTACCGGTTAACCATGGGCCTATCACTTTTGTCTGTTACGGGTCAATATTCGGTCCCTAACTAACCCTCACTTAGCTTACGTACAAGTGTGAACTGACCAACAAAAAAGATCATACAGGTAGCTATTTTATGTCATATGTCAGGGAATGATGTTTAGAGAGAGAACAACATAGCTCTTGGAAAGATCTTTCATATTTGATGAAGAGAAGATTGTACCTCAGCAAGACAAACCAATCTGATGGACTTAAATTTTCTGGTAAAGCTTTCGTTTAGTTGTCTTTCCTAGATATCACATTAGAATCAGGTTTCGAAATCAGTTGTAGTGGTAGAAATTGTATTGTTAAAGGTTTTAGTGATAAAAGGCAACGAGTAGACGTGAATGAGACATTTGCGTTAACGAAATTTATGAGGATCAAGGTTCTGAAGGGTAAAAATCAGGGTTTCCCATATTCACGTTCTCTTAATGATTTATTAAAAGTCTCACATTTGTCTATTACGTGCTTGATATGTGGTAATGAAAGTAAAGTATGATTGGTCATTGGGTGTGGGCAGACATTTACTTAGCCCATTGATCATTAAATATGTGGCTTCCTCTCCTCTCACTGATTTCTACCCCGCACTCACTGAGAATGAATGCTTGCAACTGTAGGGAACAAAGTGTTATCTAGTCTACACTCTGGTACTATATTCAGGGTCCCTAATCCTGGACCTGATATGACATGAATAGCATCATCGTACTTCTAATGCATTATTGTAATATACCAAGGAGAGAAAAATACTTCAGAATCACCCGTCATATCAATGCTGATGACATTAAAAGTATTTACTTACTTACGCCTGTTACCCCTCGTGAAAGAGCATAAACCGCTCTCCAGCACATATGGTTGTCGTTTTTTTGCAAGATGCTTTTCTACGGAATGGATTTACCGACTGCACACCAAACCCTTCTCCTTCACCCCGGTTTGAGACCGGCATTAACTCTAAAAGAGAGGCAGGAGTTGTGACATTAAAATACCTAGGTAGATATAAGAGTGATAAGGTCCTGTCATGCTGATATACATATACCTCATTTTATCTACAGAAGAAACCAAACTAGTGGCTGAATCAGCCTTTATTCAGATAGTGGGACAAAACAGTTGGAGCACGGGGTTTTATTTTCAAATATCCATAGTTTTCAAAACTTAGTGTAAAACATTAGGAAATATAGTGCCTACACAAAATAAGGATGTAGATGCATACTTGAGCTAAAATGTTTCGACATTATTCACATGGTTTTGGCCGACTCTCAACTATCTAACCTAAGGTGTTGCAGTCCGACTACATGAAAATTTGACTACATTAGCTTAGTAGGGGGATCGGTAAGTAAATGTAATCATAGTGCTCAAAGTAATTGTTTATAGAGGTTTATAAATCATAATTATTAGTAACCTATGCGCCCTGGGTGACTGTAAGGTTGCCGTCTTTCACAAGCTATCCCATCATTCACACATTGTACTTGATGTTTGTCAGGAATCATTTGGGGTGTGTCCTTGCTTTAGGTAAGGATCAGATATGCTGGATTAGGCCCAAAGAGGAGAGACCAAATGGGTGAAAGAAGTATCTGGCCTACTTTCTGAAGATGGATTATAACTTTTCAGCCTACTTCATCTGTCACATCAGGGAGATGGTATTATATCTAAGCCTCATATTAAGCCTCTAGAATAATCGTGAAGATTATGACACAATTGGCAATTTACAACAGGATGATGGTATGCTGAATGGTGGTTTCTCTGTGGTGGTAAACACATCCCTAATATTATTAGTCTTACAGTTTTTCAAAATTAATGTTTACCTCATTAGTTTTACTGAACACATTCTAGCATCCCTACTAGATCACTCTTGGCTATTCCGTGCTATGCACCCCTCTCGGCAACTAGTAAGCTTAGATCAAACGCTTACGAAACATCGAATGCTTTTGAAGTTTTTCTTCGAATTCCTTCATTCCTGGCGTCCGCATTGACCGCGTTTGAAATATTTAGATCATAAAGCTGGTACGGACAAAAGTGTTATGAATTTCTGAGTTTTCGTTACATTCATTTCAAAATAACACGTCTTGTAACGGAAATTTTACTAACCATTTCTCTATTAAATTAAAAAACGGCAAATCTACACAGAGATTTTGCCTTCATTGCAAAGCTGAAAAAATAGAAAACATTTAGTTTTCATTTAGGAGCTGAATTAACAGCGAACGTATTCAGAAAATGGCGCTACATTGTTCGATGGCGCTACCCCGGAGTTCGTATAATTTAACGCGTTTTATTTGTCATTGATTATTAATTTTCATGGCTGGAAAAGGGTCAAAAGGATTCGCTTTGTTTCAAATCAATAGTCAGGATGTGTGGGATGCAGATGATCGTGAATATCTGAACATAATATCACCCAAAGGTTGTTTGTCAATTTATTTGTTATTTTGTTAGTTGTACAAAAGACAGCACAAAAGGTTCTGGATATGCATAGACAAGAGTCGGCTATCGCTAAAGGGCAGGATGACAGAGACAGAAATGTAAGGCTGAGAAAATGCTACTTTTTATGATTTTTGCCTTATACTTTGAGAGATCCCTGTGATGTCAAATAACGATATATTTATACATATACCAGAGTGACGTGTTTTTTCCCTTTTTTATGCACTTCCATTTTTAACGTTTTTTACGGATTAATTTTTATGTAGACTGCAGTTGTAGTTGTTATGTAGTCTCCCATTTTACCCATATAATTGATTTCTTTCCATATGGTATAACGTAATCTCTGGATCTCTGTATGAAGGCATCTTCTCAATCTATAGTTCCGAGACACCTATAAGTCGTACCTAGCGGGGAACCAAGTTGGTGCTGTTTGTTCATGATATTCGTACGCAGGTATTTTTTTTAGCTGGGTTTAAACTACTTGTTCCGATTCTGATTTGTGCAGTTAAAACAGAAGGCCTGCGGCCAATGTTATTCCTTTTTTAGTAAACTTCTATGAGTGTCTAGTTTCTTGAGTGAGTCAGCTTAAGGTGTGGACACCTCTGCTTCAGGTAACAGGTTCCAAGAATTGATAACTGAAAACCTGTATGTTACGGCATTTTGTTAGTCTTTCGACTTTTCTATTCTCCTGCTTTACTCTCTGAAATTACATGGGTAGCTGCCTTCCGTACGTTTTCCAAGATATCAGAGTCACCTTTCGAATGGGCTTACAGCCTGAACGCAGTTCTCAAGCTTAGTTCTTATCAAGGTTGTGTATACTGTAGTGAACATGGTAGTATCTAACTTGATGAATGTCCGTCTTAAAGCACAGAGGATTTTAAACCTCTTAGCTACGACCTTGTAGCGGTGGACCGTGGTCTTAGGACCATGACTCATTGTCACTCCAAAATCCTTATGAGACCGGATGACGGGTACAGGCGCTTCCCCTATGCTGTACCTATTTTATATATGTATCCCCAGTGTGTTTGTAGACACACTTCTCCGCATTGAAACGAATCATCCACTTTTTAGACTAGGTGATCGGATTATCTAATTCCGCCTGAAGTGCATATGTACCTGTGCCTTCCTGAGGGAACAAATGGCGTATGAATCAATCGCTGGTCACCGGCTTCCATGGGACTGCATCTCCTTACGATGCTCCACTGCATTGTGGATCAGATCTTTCGGTCAAAGGCTCCGGGTGTTGCCCTCTTAAGAAAACCACCACATACTTCACAGAAATCAAATAAGATTTGTGTGGCGCATATGTATTTGATGCCCCCTTGTGCCAATATTTATGTGTTTAAATCAAATAAGTAATAAAATAGGTCCATTAAAGACGAGGAGTTTTGTAGATCATATCTGGTGGGATCTCTAATACGCTGGAATAAAGCCAGAGCGATTGTGGTTTCTAAAAAGTTACAATCAGTTGATGTTGTTAATGACCCTACTTCTAAGTTTACCCAGTTTATATACGGTACATTAAAGTCGCCTACTATAAGACTTTTCACCCTATTATACCTAGACTTAGGAGGAAGTCATCCACTAAACATTCTGGACTGTGGTATACTACAACTAAATATCTCGCTGTTTATATTTCGGCCTGCAGTGTACCAGTTCACATGTCCCTGAGTCGTGTGCCACTGTCTCTGCAGTTCGTATGGTTAAGATATTTTTCGTATACAGGATAACACATTCACCCCTATGGCTTAGTCTATTAACCCTACTGGGTAAAAAAACCAAGCAGACGAACTTCACTATCGTACACTGCTGATGTTAACCGTGTTTTTGAGATGGCAATGATATCAGGGTTTTCTGTGTCCATCACTGTTTTTAGCCCCGCCATTTTATTTTGTAGGCTGGTAGCATTTGTATAGCACACCATTAATTCTGTAAAGAACTTTCTCTTATCACTCAGAGTGGCTTCTTTTCGAAAGATTCTCTGTGCTTGTGAGAAATAACTAACCTGTCAGCGGGATCCGTTATGACAAACTGTGGAGTTTTGTTTCCTAAAATCTCATCTCTGCAGTCCTATTTGGCGTCAGTCGCGAAGGTCTTTCTCTGTTTCCTTACTTTTCTTCTTTTGGGTATAAGTGTAGGGCCAATCATTGACCTTATGTCTCTTGACCACACCATTCACACCGCTGAGGCTTTGCTCCCCATATTCTGTTTGGAGTTGATATTTTAATCTGGAACTGAAACCGTAGACTCACGTACCTTAGTGCTGCCTATGATTTGTTTCTTCTCAGAGTGCGTTTTCTTTTTTCTTGTAACTGTGCCTACAACGGTGTGTTTGTTATCCGCTATGCTATTGGGATCCACTTTGGTAGTTTCATCCAAATCCAAATCCGGGCTCATGATAACGCTCGCTACTTTCTCGAAAACTGAAACCTACTCATGTGCTGCTGGCTGTTTATCTGAGAGCATCTTTCCAGCTATGTTCGGCAGCTCAATCGCCTCACGAATTAGCAGAAGCTTTGTAGAGCTGCATGCCTTGCACAGCCAACGTGATAGTGGCTTGCAGCACCTTTATATGCAGCTGATGTGTGTCCGGTGCACATGTTTTGATATCACTTGTTGCAGTTGTCACATTGCATTCTTCTGCGGGTATGAATCATTATATTTCAAACATACTGAGTCTATATACCAATCAAACTGATCGCATCGTACCACGAAATAAGAAACAACATTTGTACAAGATTCAGCCGAATGTGTCTATGAATAGGAGAGATAGTAAATAATAGGTAGGGCATAATTCAGAAATGGTAAATCATATAACAATAGTTTATAGTTCAAAATAAAGCTCATAATCAGGGGGACATGAATATGAATAGTTTATACGATAAGAAATATATGCACAGTATTTTTTCATAAATAGATCCCTAAGTTACCATCCACTATTCTTATCGGGACACAACAGATACTAAAAGATGTACTCAACGGAGAAAAAAGTACCACTTCCGTTTTTGTTTCCTTATTCAAATCGTACAGATGATAAATTACTTTGGAAAAAAGCATACTCTTGGCGATTACTTTAACTGAAATAAATTCAATTAAAGCGAAAGAAGTAGTCTTGATGTTGTTGCACTTAATTGTGTAAGATGTAAACCATGAATTTGGTTCTAATTTACTTAGAAACCTCTAAGTACGCTCGATAATACTAAAAACCAAATCAAGCCAGTCTGTAAATAGGTTTGTGGGGAAACAGTAATTCATTAATTAGGGTTGTCTTGTGGAAAATTTGAATTTTTAAAGCGTTATTATGTCACAAATATGTAAATATATATTCCTTTGTCCACTAAGCCTCCTACTTTCTGATGTTTTGCTGAGTCGCAAAGGCCAGAGATTGATGCTTCCTGGGAACACCTCCTGCTTTGTCGTAAATCTATTGCAGTTGTAAGAGGTTAAGTTCACTATGTATTAGTGCAAACAACTAGTTCTTTGTTGCAAAACCTGGTTTTATGAGTTGGGAACATTTAGCGTCTTTGTTCAATTATCTTTATGCCCTAAAGGTTGTTCATATACAGTATTTATACGTAGTGAATATATAATCTTTGGTGGTTTGATCATGTTTAACGCATGTTTTGGCTGGTTTTCTGTCGAGTATTATTCGTCGACTACGGTCCTGGGTAGAAAATTGAGAGGGACTAAATTTGTTATATAGCACTGTGGAATAACGCATAGTTGTATTGAAAACTGTCGGTCCATCATCACCACTAGTTTGGGGTTTCAGACCCTAAAGCTCAGAACTTGCTAATGCACCGATTGGTTGATAATAAAAAACTGGTGATTGTCCCACCGTAGTTTTTTGTTTTTACTCATAAAAGTTAAGATGTCTCTTCAGTCTTTATTAGTAAGGGAAGAAGATCGAGCAACGCATATCAGTATTTTCAATTTGTAGGACCGTGAAAATCCAATCTCACTTTGAATGGATCAACCACCAATATCCAGTGTTATTTCACTATTTGTTTTGTTTCAAGGATTTTCCTTTTTTCTGTTTTACAGTCCACTGGCTTGGTTTGCCTCGTAATAACACTTACTACACTGACGCATTTTTCTCTGTTAGTACCCATGCTGCCAGTGCAGCCACCATCAACTTTCTTGTTGGCCAGTGACAAAAACCCATCACCTCCTTGGTCAGTAATGTCCTACTCGAATGAGGAAATGCGCAAGACGAATAAGAAGTTAGACTCCAAGCATCTTTTGTATGAGGTGTGATTCAAACGAGTATACATTTCGTGGAACCACTTGCTTCGATCATCATACTCTATTCCTTCAACAGGAAAAACAATTAGACTGTCCACATTTATGAGACTAGCCGACCATTGCATGAAATCCACATAAAATTTACCCTCTGTATATACAAAAACCAGAGACTGATAGTATAGTATAATATCTAGCAGACTAAAAGAAAAAATCGACAAAAATACATAAGATCCCAGCAGTTGCAAGAATCAACCAAAAATAGAGTACCACAAAATGAATTTGAATATCTAAAATTTAACTGAAATAATTCAAATTAGAATCGACCAAGTATTCTTTTGATGCTATAAACACATAGAAGCAAAGCTAACTCAACAAGTTTTGAGAACACTCCCTTTTTTAAAGCACACTAAAGTTTATCTTCTGTTGAGATGAAATCAGAGTCATGGTTTTACTCATATTGTATAGGTTAATATATGCAATTGTTTTTCTCTGCCGTTTTGTTCATTGCTTTTATGCTCTTCACTCTTAGTTTTTTACAATATTATTGACTTGCGTTACTAGGCACATTACTTGGTGCTGTGTATGTACCAAGCCGTTCTGTGTCATAAATTATTTATTTAAACACAAACATTGGTACAAGGATATACTAAATATGTTTGCGCCACACTTCATCATTCGATTTGTATGAGGGCTGAAATACTGACCGGGCACCCAAACTGAAGCAGGTGGTTTTCTTTGGGGGTCACTCCCGAGCCTTTGACCTGGAGATCTCATCTGAAAGGCAGTGAAACAATATTAGGAGATTCAGTCTCATGGTAGCAGTGACCAATAATGCGTTCATATGTCATCTGTCCCCTCAGGACCCTGTAGTTCATGTGCACCCTCCGTGTCCACCAACCTGTTTAAAGCCTTGGACATTCGCTTTTCGTCCTCTCATTTCCTTAAACAACACCGCGATAAGGCAGTGATTAGGATTTTCCTGTCAGTGGATGTATACGTGTGGCTTTGTGGGGGCATTTCGAGAGGGACAGTTGATTCTCTTCACCCTCAACCGTACCAGGGCATTCGGGGGCTCTTGAAACTAATAATTAAAAACCAACAATCGCTCCTTTTTTTCTGTTATAAAGTGCAGCAACTTCAACTGTTACATAATTATACCAGGTTTTAATGTGTCGTCACATCGTCACGTTCATTCCAAATGTAATGCAGATGTATCCTAGCCCTCAAATCAAATTATTTGTATGGTGCATATATATATATATATATATATATATATATATATATATTTGTTGCTTCTTTGTACTAATGTTTGTGTTTAAATAAATAAATTAGTTATATTACAGAAATTGACAGTGTTTATTTACTTGGCGAACGTGTGCATTAGGTTTGTTCAGCATTGTGTCTAGCCCCAAGCCAGGTATTTTTCGATTTGGTATGATATGTTTTATGAGGACTGTATTTTACTCGTACAATAATTTCGCCGAAATATATATGGGTATTATATAATTGCCAGTGCCTGGCATTCACTTAAAACTGTTACCTTTGTCCCTAATATCTTACATACTTTATCAATCTATTCTTTCTCTTGTTTTCAGATTGAATCTCTGGATGTTAAAGATTCACTCGTACTGCCATATGACAAACCCCCGAAACATGCTCCTGGTATGGGTGTAAGATTGAGAGCAAGTCCTGATGATTTCCCTGTTGCGCATCGAAAGCTGTTAGATCAAGGTCGGACCCAACGTTTCAATACGTGTATCAACTCAAGTATAACAGATTTAGGTATGTGACATTGCTTTAGTTCTTTGTTAAACTTTGTGTTTGTGTTAACTTTGAAGCTTTGTAACAAAAGAAAGCATTTTCGACCTTTTATAAACACCTAAGTAATTGACCCAAGCTTCTGAGAATATGAAAATCTCTCACTTTACACGTTGATATTACGTTAGTTACCGTGAGCACTTGCGTAGAGAAGTTTGGAAATTCATTTCTTTCTCTCTAAATTGTCCCATAAATTTACTGTTTTATGACTTTAGTTTTATTAACCTCTTAGACGGATTGATTATATTCTCATTAAATAAAAAGTGTGGAAGCAAATATCTAACCGTAAGACTGGACTACTGGATGTGTAAGAGGGTTTGAGAAAATTTAATTCTTGACTACTTTTAGATTTAGGATCCTGAAGAAACAAATGCGATATGAATTTACTATGATCATCACCTGTCAAAGGGACATATATCTTCGATTTGTCCTGTAGCCTTGTGGTTTGAGCCTTTAGGTTAAAAACAGATAAAAGTTATCTCGTAATAAAATTGAATTTGGGAGACTGAGTAGTTTCACTATCCAAATGGAAAAACGTCGCCTACAGATGAAAATTAGGTATAACTTGTTTTAAAAATACAGTTCGTAAACTCATTTCGTATTCCATAATGCTTCGTTTCTTTTGTTTTTGTGTTTGAACATTTTTATTTCTATGTTATATGTACTCTCTGCGGTTAGTCTTTACCCTAGAATCACGTATCACTTCATTCCTTTTGAAATGTTAATCTGGGCTATCGTTAATTCAAGTGTCTTTTATATTCTTTAAAGGCGATCTGTGTTTTACATTCATATTATTTGGATCTCTCCTAAATTTGTGGAGAGTGTTAAATATGTTTCTACGCATGTGTTCGTGAAAGTCCTATGTAACACCCATACTGTTACATAGCCTCTAACAATGACATCCCCTTCTTTAGTTTAATCAATTGCTATTTTCAACAATGTATTGGGAAGACTTAGTTCATCTGAAAGCGGTAATATCTTTACGTTACACATTTCGAAAAATCTAGTCCCACATATTTGTTACAACATTTCGTATGAAAACCAATAAAAGTCAATTAAATAAAGGTTCAATAAATATAAAGAGATGACTGGAAATCAAGGAGAAAAAACCAATATATATATATTGTAGAAATAATAGCAGATTGTCACATTATCCTAAACCCTACAATGAATTAACAATTACCAGGACAGATTCAAGGTCCAAACAAACTGCTTCTGGACACATAGAGGAAGTTTGAGTTTTCTTATAACTGAGGCATTCTACAAACTGAAGAATGCATCCTTGACAAATTCTTAACAAAGAGTTAAAAGCTGTTTTAAGGCAAATCGTATGACATGTTTTGATTGTGTTGTGCAATCGACGAGTATAGTTTTGCTATTCTGTCAACCAATTCTGATTATGTGAATGTGAAATTAGTTGATATTGCTCATCAATTTCATATTCGTCAAAAAAGACAAAAATATCCTAATGGCTAAATGTTTTAATGTCTTAAAAGACGTCCAGAGTAGATTAAATATCGTGTTTGAAAGTCCGATAAAGGTTTAGGTGTTGTTGTTATTGTGAACAAATGTAACTATAAGGAAAATATTTTATCCATTCTTTGTAATGAAAAGAAGTTCGTGGTAGTCCTCGGTAAAGTGATGTTAGGAAATTGTAAGCCAGAGCAAACTGCAATCTAGTGAAAAACACTTCTGAACATGAATATTAATACCAAATAGGAACTTAATATTTTAAATCCTATGGGATCTAAACTCTCAAATTTGTACGGATTATCTAAAGTTCACAAATCCAGTAGTTTTTGAAGATCAATATTATATATGTGCAGTTCACCTGCACTTGAAATCGTAAAATAATTGACAAAAGTGCTAAACCTATTGCACAACAAATTATATAAATTTTCATTGAAAGATACGTTTGAACTTACTGATCTTCTTAATGGCATGAATATTAACTCTTTACGAATATGAATGCTGTTAGAGGTATGAGAGCGGTTATCACTCCCCGGTTGCCCACACTGTGGATGGGTTCTTTTAGAGGTACCTGTGACGAACAGATTGTTAAAATTAACCTGGTCCATAACCTGTATTCTTAAGCATATCTCGTTTTTGATAATTTATATAGACTCAGATTTTTCTTTCAACCTTCTTTTTTCATTACTTTATTTTCGATTTTTTGGTAAAGGAAAGAAAAACTTCCAATTATCGCTTTATATTTATTGAGTCAGTCAGTCAGCTACAACGTAGGACCAGGCACATTTATGCATCGGTCCAAGTTGCCATACCTCGTTAGCACAACAAGATGAACACCCGACCGTTGCTGCTATCTTGACGTGGTGGTCGGGCTTGCCTATCGTGATGGACCAATCAAGCTATACTGGCTGGAACAATCGTTCCTCAAGGTTTTTCCATGCCAGACAGGTCCGTTGTAGAGCGGTAAGACTAAAAGCAGCAAATCCAAGGTCCGAAGGCGAAGTCGTACTGCTGACTGTACAGAGGTGTGACAGCAGTAAATTGTTTCCTTCAGACAACCAGCATGACAGCGATGCTGCCTTCCCACAAGGAGGGGTGTGGTTAGAAAAGGTCGACTCTAAAAATGCACACCTCGCCTTATCCCACGGATATCCTTCTCCGGCGGTAAGGTTCCAACAAGTACGGAGCTAACACAAAAACTACCCACAAAAAGGTCGTGTGTGACCGACCTGAAGCAGTTGTCCCTTGGGCACTGCGGTCACGCTCTCAGGTCATTAAGACCACTTCTAACCCAATTTCCTTTTCAGGTACCTCTAGAAGAACCGTTTCACGGTGTGGGCAACCGGGAAGTGATAACCGCCCTCATACCTCTAACAGCACTTAAGACCACTTATATTTATTGAACCTTTATTAAATTGACTTTTATTGGTTTTCATACGAAATTTCATGACAAGTATATGTGACTAGATTGTTCGAAATATGTAATGTAAAGATATCACTGCTTTTAGATTAACTATGTCTTCTCAAAACACTGTCTGACTTTTCTTGGCAGGGACTTATTGATTGAAAATTTCTTTTATACATTACTCTCTGAGGAAAATAATTGTTTTCAGAGTATACCTAATGTATTAGTCATGACCAATGTTGATCGTTGTGTAGTTCTTTTCTTTTAAACATCATGTCTTTCGTTTTAGTTGTATTGCGTCAATTGTCTTGGTCTGGAATTCCAGGAGAACTTCGACCAACAGTATGGAAATTGTTATGTGTAAGCATTTGGTTGTTTAAATAGATATTTCGGTTTATTTATTTTTATAATGGTATGAATAGTTGTTAACGGGTTAACTTTTTCACCTATTGTCTCTATAAGATTCTGTTTTCTTTTCTATTTATTCTACATAATGTAAGTGTAAGTTTATGCATATCTGCGAAACATTTTCTATTACTAAGAGGTTATTTGTAATATATTTTTATCTGTAAAGAGTAGTGGGTTTGTGATTCATGTACTCGATTTTCGTTTAATGTGTCGCAAATTTGAATACCATTCCGTCTACTTCGGCTTAAACATCTATGTTGTATCGTAACCCTTCTCAGATACAAAAGGTATGACTTGAGGCTAAATATGTAAATCCGTTCTTCATACACTCAGTAGTTGTTGGAGATGTTAGATCCTCAGAACTCACTTGGTAAATGCCTTATTTTTGTAATTTTATTTCAAAGATTTGAATTTCTTGTTTTCGTGTCAAAAGCGCTTATTTTCACCTTCATGTATTTCCCACTTGTGAGGATCTTAAACGCTATTGGTTCGTTGCATCTTTTAGTATGCTACTTTGTAACGGTTTCCAAGGTCAATTTTATGCTATATATATACGTTTGATTTGTGCCTGCCGTGATTGCTTGTGCTTCTGGCTGCTTGCGGAATATATTTTTCTCACTTCGAACTTGGACTTCTCACTCTAGTTAGCGGGGCTGGGACGCGTCAGAATAGCTAGCATATTGGTATTTGGTTACAGAGTTTTCGTTCCGTTCTGGGACTAGGAACCCGTAATCGCTTCAAACATAACAGTAGTGGACATGTGAGATAATTTATGTAGTGAAAATTGTCAGGATGTTTTTATCCCTCGTGTTTATATTTGTCAGTAATCGATATCTTACCACCTTTTAAAGATTCATGTTTCTGTCGGGTTCGAAATCTGAATCACAGCTGTAACATTTCTAAATAGAAACCAAAGCGAACGCATGTTTTTTAAGTTCGAGTAGTGTGTATTTGTGCATTTTCGGACACAAAGTACAACTGAATCGTAGATCCAAACTGTGAACTTAAGCTAAAATAACGCGAATAAATCTGTGTACACTAGACTACTCAGCTAAAAGTGTTGTGTTTGAACTATCAATAAGGTATGATTGGTTGACTGGCTAGATCACTGAATGATGGTGTTACGTCGGAGATGTAGTGTTAATCAATATTTGAAAGGAAGTAAATTTATCATCGTAATTCATATTTTAACCAAGTATTTTCTATTCTTTTTCAAATCATTTTTGCGTTCTAGGATTATCTTCCAACTAGTCCTGAAAGACGTGTCACTGTACTAGCGGATAAACGTAAACAATATACACTTTTTGTTAGTCAGTATTTTCATTTACGTGAAAATGCTAAACATAAACCGATGTTTCATCAAATTCAAAAAGATTTAAACAGAATGACATTACTTTATCGAAGGCCTGAAATGGTTGCTGTAAGTTATATTGTTGTTGAGCGTTTAAACAAAAAATATAGTTTTCTGTGTATTATACTGTCACCAATGTGATTAAATTGCAGTTTAGAAATAGTTTGGATGGGGGCTTTAGATGTTTACAGGGTTGATTAAAATGTATATAACACATCTCTATCTACTGTCTCCCCAAATTGCTATCCTGGCTAGGACAGGAGAAAAGTAGAGGAAGGTTAGTATTGTCAAAATCAATACATAGTACCATTGCTTAAAATAATTGACTTTGGTCTATCCCCAAATCTCGTACGAGGAATTGTGAGAAAGTTCGTTACTCTGGATGTTAGCGGGACATATATTAGATTAAAGCATGTTCCGTGCACGATTGCGTTGGCGCACTCTGATTGGCTAATTCTTACCCAATCAGCGCTGGTCGATACTTGGAGAGCACTCTAGAATCTTCTCATGTGAAAACTATAAATATACTAATGGTTTTCTTACTGTGCTTTTTACTTCCATCTACCCTTGTTATTCGGAATGTACTTTCTTTCCTGTTTAACCGTGTTCTAATTTGGGGACTTATCGAGTGAATTGGTGTCCAAGAATACTAAGAGAATACTAAGAGAAATTATAACACTAGAAATACTTTCACATGACTGAAACTTTATAGTTTCGGAAAAATCCTACTTATTGCCTTCACACTGAGAAAGCACTTTCACAAAAATAAAACAATAAAACTGGATATTTAATATTTAAATGGGGTTGATAAATTTGAAGAATCCACCTAGAGCAGTTGGAAAACTCTGGTTTTGAACCAACAGTGGTACTCAAAGCAAAGAAATCAAAATAGTTACTTTTGTTAGTAGAGAAAACCAAATATATGAAGTATAATCAGAAAGGAATAAATAGCATGGAGGAACGAGGAGTTTGATACATTTAAATGAAGATAGCGAACAATGTATTTTCACATCTGCTACCAATTTTGAGCTATTCTATTTTTTATCGGTCACATATTACGATTATCTTGTTCACCTTGACCAGAAATGTTTGCAGCGCTTGACTTGACCTAGTTCAACAGATAATTACGTCATAGAATAATCCTATATTTTTATCGGTTTATCCCTAGTCGTTTTCAACCTTCTTATATAGTAACTGAATGTGTATAGCATGTATCCTAATTATCTTATCCAGTTAGTTAACAATATCATTAACCAAGTTTTCATTACTACCCAGTACTCTACGCCTAACCGTCACAACTTAATTTAACCATAAACAGGTAATCCTTTAAATGAACTGGTAGTTGAATAATATCAGCCCACATATTGTTTTAGCTTGCCAATGGCCACGTTTTAAAGTTATAACTGAGTATACTGTTAACTGCTGTACTCAGAGCAATATTATTATTATTATTCACGACATTGCACGACCATCTTCCATTGTCTTGAGTGAGTAATTGCCTCATATCCGACCCGGTTAAAATCCACTGGTCACTGCTTCTCACTAGAACTCCGAGAATTACCTCTCGAAGCTAGTCACTAGTGTGAGCACATGATAATCATCAGTATAGGATTTTGGAGATTGTTGGGTTTAAATTGAGATGATGAACAACCGATCAGTGTTAGGCTACCATTGAAAACTTAGAAGCAGTGGACAGCCGTTTCATCATAGTATGGGAATTGTCAGCAGTGCGAATCCACGACCATGCATGCGGGACTCGAACCTAAAATATAAACAAAGACCTGAAGGATCAGTCCGTGATTGCAACTACTGCCTCCACAAATTATCCATACTGATCACAATCATGTGGTCACTAGTGACTAGCTTCAAGACATAACTCCTGAAATCTTTTTGACAATCCATAACCAGTGTAGTTAAACTCATGTCGAACGTGAGACAGTCATCCAGCGCAAGAAATGAGTGAAGGGTTTGTCAATATGATGTATTGGTTGGAGTTAGACATTAGTACTGTTGGATTCTAAGTCAATGGTCTAGAGGTTAAACGTTCGGGCGCAAGACTGAAGGTCGTAGATTTGATCCCCACCCATGGGTTCTTGGATGTGCATTGATAAGGAGTCCCATACTAGAATGAAACGTCTGTTCAGTGCTTCCAAGTTTTTAATTGTGGTCTAACATTGATCGGTTCATGATCTCAATTAAAACTCAACAATCTCCACAACCCTATACTGATTATTATTATTATTAACAGATTATTGTTATTGATTTATTTTTAAATTTATCAGTTTTCAGATACGATTCTCTAAAATAACTTTTACGGTCTCAGTTCTTTTTTTGTCCTTCACACTGTACAGATGTTTGAACGTATTCTATTTGTCTGGTCTATGCGACATCCAGGAATTGGTTATGTACAAGGTATAAATGATTTGTTAACTCCATTCTTCATTGTATTTTTATCAGAATACACACATGTTGGTAAGTTTCGTATATTCTGTTGTTGTGAATTCCTTTTTTTCGATATCTGTTAGAGATTTGCATTATTCTACGTTTATTTTGATAGGAATATGTATAATACAGTATCTGGGACAACTTCGTTTAATATTGACAATGTTATCCATTCATTTCAATCATAGTTGCACATACTATTTTGTAGTTTTATCCCTCTTTATTCTTCTTCGTCAGATCTTCTTTATTCGAGTTCTATCTTGTATCTAGATTGATAAAAAAGCATTTTATGCAGTACTCCAAAACGAGCATGATCCAGTCAGAAATAGTTCTGTAATTAGCATCATATGAACATTTCTTTATTTTTCATAGCTAGTAACTTCTTAGTACTACTCAGATCTCACCTCCATCACCATGTTAGCCCCCAATTGCCCTGATACAGCCGAAGATGGAAAGAGACTAATCGCTCTCTCAAAATGCTCTTACATAGCCACGCGTATACAGCCACTGACAGGGAAGTTCTACTCACTGCCTTCTCGTGGCGGGGGTATTGTTTACGAAATTGAAAGGACGAAAAGCGAATGTCCGGCGCTTTAACCGGGTTGGTGGACATGGAAAGTTCACCTAGGGGAGTTGGAAAACCCTGATTCCAAACCAGTGGTGCACATGGGCTCCAGTATCCTGAGGGAACAAATGGCGTATAAACCAATCGTTGGTCACCGTCTACCATGGGACTGCATCTTCTTACGATGCTCCACTGCCTTGTGGACTAGACCTTTAGGTCAAAGGCTCCGGGTGTGGCCTCCTAAGAAAACCACCTGCTTCAATCTGGGCACTTGGTCAGTATCCAAGCCCTCACACAAATCAAATGAGATTTGTGTTGTGCATCTGTATCTGGTGCTTCCTATATATATGTGTTTAAATAAATAAACTACTCAGATTCTCTAGAAATCTAATCTCATGTTGGTAATAATGGTATTTAAAAACTTGCTTGTATGTATGTGTGTATGTTTGAAACCTTAGTAAAGCCCTCCGTAGAAGTAATGGTGATTGAAAAACAATAACTAGTTATTTTTAAAGCTTAATGTTAACATTTGTTGATCTATGGTAAGGATATTTCGAAATTCTAGAAAAACGTTTAGATAGGTAGAATAGACGAACCATGTTGAGTTACACATTAGTTAGTTAGTTAAGTAGTTAGTTCCAAGTTTTTTAAAGTTAAATATCCAGTATTTAGTTAGCTGATATTTGAGACACAGCCCAGATATACATATTTTTTAGTTTGTGTATCATAGAAACCATTATCTTATATCACTATTATGAATCAGTTAGTCAGTCAATCACAACGTAGAGCTTCGTACGTACGTACATCAGTTCGAGTTGCCATACCACATTAGCACAGAGATGCAGTTGTCGATTCAAATCCCATAGTGATACAAGTAGTAAGATTATAAGCATTAATGTAAGAGATTAGGGTTTGAAGATGTTATTTAAGGAGTATAATCCAGTGAAATAAATTTGGAGAGAGAAAAAAGATAGAGACATGAAGAATTCAGAAGATTAGAATTTGGGAGAACACAAAGAGTGGATGCACCTTCGTCATTGCAAACGATTTTGAGTCATGTCATTATTATTATGAATAACTAATAATGAATGTTAGCTACAAATTCTTTGAGGCATTAATAATAAATGTAGCTATTTTAAGCTAACCTGCACATCGGATATTTCGAAGTCATTAAAGCGCTCTTGTTTTTGATCATTTCCTGTATGTATTATCAATTGAACATTTGGTGAATAGTTCAACTACTATTAATTTCGTTTGGAAAAAATAGCAGTGGTAGTTCGTTCGAGACTCAATGTATTGATTCTTCCTTCCGAACATTTTGAACAATGTGGTCACACAATATGATTTTATAACAGAATCCAGAACACCCATTATGAAAACTTATTACGTTGCTAAACTGGTTGTGATTGAAAGGACTAAGTCCATGGTCCCAAATGGACTTTGACAGTTCACATATCAGTCAAACATCTACAAAGTAGGATCAGGCACATATATACATCGGTCCAAGTTGCCACACCTCATTAGCACAACAACATGGACACCAAATTCATGGAAGTAGTTACTTCAGTGGTAGCAATATATAAAATAAAGATTGCATATAAGGATATATATGATACAGGAAGAGTTAGTTCATAGGAAGAAAGGTATAAAGTAATTTTAATCTCGCGGTTTAAGTGCAGACAAAGAGTGTATACACTTGCGCCATTTTGATTTATTCTGAGCCATGTCGAACAGAGTCTCCAAACATTGATTACAATAGTCACGCGGACCCTAACCAGGTAGTCTGCATTTACCAACATGGCTCAGATCTGAAGTTATTGACTTCAAGGACTGATGCCACATTTTGGTTTGGCCTATAATTCCAATACTAGTCGGCATTGCACGTCGTGGTAATCGGTGCTCAGGTATACGTAACAAGTGGCCTAACCATCTCAGTTAATGAAGATTCACAACCTCATCAACTGATTTACTATCATTCCCTAATACCCTGTGTCTAACTTCACTTTTACTTAGCCAGTGGTCCGAGCATGTGTGGGCAGTATTTCTAAGATATCTGTAATCAGGTACTAGTAAATTATGAATATCTTCCACTCCTAATGGTCGCGTTTCGCATCTGTAAAGTAAAACAGAACGAACTACCGCACCGTATACTCATCATTTAATTGATAGACGGATATCTCGCCTTCGCCATAGGTGACGTAAGTTGGCAAAAGCCAAACGTCATACACCAACCCATTAGGGCTGATCAGACTTCCAAGATAAGTGAAGTTGTCGACACGTTCGTCTAATTCGCTCCCGATCCTTAGTTCAGGTGTTCACACAGACCAGTCTTGAAGCAAAAATTAGGATTTAGAGGGGGAGAAACTCTTCTCAAACATCCTGGAATTGTTGCTCAGTGCTACCGAAACACTGCATTTTATCAGCGTCTTCACCAAACAGGACTGTGTCATTTGCATATTCTAAGTCGATAAGTGGACCTCCTGGTAGGAGATCAATTCCTGAAAATTCAATTTATGTAAATATTGAGGGAGATAGGAAAAAGACTATATACAGAGGGAAACGAAGAACTGTTGCCACGTGAACTACATGCATGGGGGATTTTCACATATATATACATATAAATACAATAAATCTATTACATCCTCATCTCATTGATTCTAATCATTGCTCTTAACCAACACTAAACTTCATACCATAATTAGTAGCTCTAAGTATACTTACTTACGCCTGTTGTAAATATGCTGCTCTTGCTTTACCGATTCGTGCCTTCACATCTGTATCAGATCCACCGAGTTCATCTGTGATTCTCTCCAGATATGTAAAGGTTTTTACATCGTCCAAAGCTTCTCCATCAAGTGTGATTCGATTGGTGTATGCTGTGTTGTATCACAGAATCGTGCTTTTCCCTTTGTGTATATTGAGACCTACTGCTGTTGAGACTGCTGCTACACTGGTCGTTTTCTCCTGCATTTGTTGTTGTTGTGTGTGATAGAAGATCCAGATCATCTGCGCAGTCTAAATCATCCAGCTTCATCCTAGTTGTCCATTGTATCCCATGCTCCCCCCCCAGATATTAACGTCTTCATGACCCAGTCGACCACCAGGAGAGAGAGAAAGGGTGAGAGTAAGTAACCTTGCCTGACACTGGTGTTTACTTCGAACGAGTCAGTGGGCTGTCCTCCATGCATGATTTCGCAGTTTAATCCATCATAGGAATTCCGTATGATATTGACTATCTTCTCAGGCACACGTTAGTGTCGAAGAAGTTTCCATAATGTTCTCCTGTCCACACCGTCAAACGCCTTTTCATAGTCAATGAAGTTGATGTAGAGTGATGAATTCCATTCAATTGATTGTTCCACAATGATCTGTAGTGTTGCGATTTGGTCTGTACACAATTGATTCTTACGGAGTCCATCATTCTGTTTAACAATATCCTGTTGAAGTCTTTTCCTGGTATTGAGAGAAGAGTGATGCTTCTGTAATTCTCACACCTGCTCTAAGTATATATCACACAATAATTAGTTAAATAATATTGTATTGTAAAGAATATTTTCATCGTTAAATCATGTCCATCATATGTTTCCGTGATGTAGTAGCCTTCGTTTTATATATATGCATTCATAATTTATTATCTATTGTTCCGAACATAGTAATACCTTTAAGCTTGTCATATATATTTTTGTGAGTTTCCCAGGAACAATGGCTTGATGTTGTAAATCCATAGGATAGTTTCGTTTACTGTCACATAAAAAGATAGGTATGGTTCAACTTATATTTCGTAAGTGATCTACTTCATGAGGAACAGTATCTAAATTTATATTTTCTCACTATCCATTCAGATTTAGTACTTAGCTCGACCGATGGAAAATCATCAGGTAAGTGTCACTGCTAGAAAATACCTAAAATATTGCGTATTTCGCAAAGGTTGATACAAAATATTTATCAAATATTTAACTAATTTGCACTTACTAACGGGGTGATCACTTTTTAAAAATCTTTATTTCCCCGAAATTTGTAGTGCATGCATTGCTGTCGAAATTACTGTTTTTGTAGTATATTATACCTGGTATAGAATAAATTGCATGTTTTAATAAATATACTATAGAAATGTATATGTAACGCAAGGTTCATAGACATTAGATACTTATTACAGGCTTACATGCTCGGCTTCGAGCTTGTGATGCTATCCGGTAGAGCGGTGGCTTCGTCGTTGAATCAGTGAAGTTTCAACAAGTAAGTTCATAAGCCCAATCCTTGTACTTTTTTTCTCAGTTCGTTCTTCCCAAATGCCCTGATATGGCGGAAGATGGAAAGCGACTAATTGCCCTCTCGAAATGCTCTCACATAGCCACGCGTATACAGTCACTGACAGGTAAGTCTTACTGCCTTCTCGTGGCGGGGGTGTTGTTTACGAAATTGAGAGGATGAAAAGCGAATGTCCGGCGCTTTAACTAGGTTGATGGATACCGAGGATCGACTAGGGGAGTAGGAAAATCCTGATTCAAAACCAATGGTGCATATGGGCTCCAGTATCCTGAGGGAACAAATGGCGTATGAACTTATTGTTGGACACCGGCTACTATCGGACTGCATCTCCTGACGTTGCTCCACTGCCTTATAAATTGTACTCATAGGTCAAAGGCCCGGAGAGATGCCCCTTAGGGAAATCACTCACTTCAGATTGGGTTGCTTACTTACTAACTCCTGTTATCCCTCGCGAAGGAGCATAGGCTGCACACCAGCACTCTCCACCCGACCCTGTCTTGGGCAGTCCTTTCCGGTTCCTTCCAGTTGCTGTCCATCTTTTTCATATCTGCCTCTATTTCCCTGCGTAATGTGTTCTTTGGCCCTTTTCTTTTCTGCTTCCCTTCAGAATTCCATTTTGAGGCTTGCCTCGATGCGGTTTGGTGATTGCCTCAATGAATGTCCAATACACTTCCAACGTCTTTTCCTAATTTCCTCTTCATCTAGGAGCTGGTTTGTTCTCTCCCATAAAACGCTGTTGCTGATGTTCTCCAATTGTAGGAATCCGGTCCTTGCTTCTTCAATCATCACCTTTATATCTTCATCAGATCCTCCTTGTTGATCAATGACGCTTCCGAGATACGTGAATGTTTCCACCTCTTCCAGAGTTTCGCCATCAAGTGTGATTGGGTTGGTGTTCTCCGTATTGTATTTGAGCATCCTGGTTTTTCCTTTGTGTATGTTGAGGCCTATTGATGCAGAGGCTGCTGCTACATTTGTTCGTGTGTATGGGATAGGAGGGCTAGTTCATCTGCGAAGTCCAGATCGTCTAGTTGAATCCAACCTGTCCACTGTGTTCCGCGTTTCCCGTCAGATGTCGAGATCTTCATAATCCAGTCAATTACCAGAAGGAAGAGTAAGGAGGAGAGTAGACAGCCTTGTCTGACTCCGGTCCTTACTGGAAATGCATCTGTCAGCTGTCCTTCATGCACCACTTTGCACTGTATTCCGTCGTATGAGTTCTGTATAATGTTGACAAACTTCTCAGGAACCCCATAGTGTCGAAGTTTCCATTATGTTTTTCGTTCCACACTGTCACACATAGTCAATGAAGTTGATGTATAGTGACGAATTCTACTCAACTGATTGTTCATCGATGGTCCGTAGTGACGCAATTCAATCTGTGCTCGACCAATTTTATGGAATCCAGCTTGTTGATCTCGAAGTTGGGCATCTACTGTGTCTTTCACCCGGTTCAGCAACACTGTTGAAAACTCTTCCTGGTACTGACAACAGTGTGATGCCTCTGTAATTCTCACATTCGCTCAGATCACCTTTCTTTGGTATCTTGATGAGGTATCCTTTCCAGTCCGTTGGCATTTGTTTCTCTTCCCAAATCTTCTTGAATAGAAGGTGAATCATGTTTGCAGTTACTTCAATGTCTGACTTCAGTGCTTCAGCTGGTATATTGTCAGGTCCTGCTTCTTTTCTATTCTTGATTTGTCTGATGACCAACCATCTTGATTTTCTCGGTCGTTGGTGGAGTGACATCTGTAGATAGATTTGTGTATGCTGTTTCGATGTCTGGTGGATTCAGTGGGCTGGTCCTCGAAATATTCTGTTCACCTTTTCCTGTGTTCTTGAATCTCTGTGATTGTCTTTTCTTCTTTGTCCTTGACAGGCTTGAATTATTTTTTCTGGTTAGCGTTTTTTAGAGAGTTTGTTTTCTACGCGACGGAGTCGCTAACCCCATGCTCAACCCTCCTCCTTTGTATGGGCTTGGGACCGGCACTAACTCTAGAAGAGCTGCAGGTGAAGTTTCAGTTTGGGTGCCTGACCAGTATTCTAGCCATCACACATATAAAATTATAAAGTGCGGAGCATATCTATTTGGTGTCTCCTTGTACCACTGTCTATGGGCTTAAGTAAATAAATAAGTTTCTGTATCTGGTTAATATCACTAACCCCTATTCAAATGAACTATGGTTCGTTACCGAGTTCAGATACCTGTACTTGTTAAATGAGTTTACAAAAGTATACTATTTCTCCACTCTAACCAAGTTAGGTGTCATGGGTTTCGAACCTATTTCCTGCTAGTTAGAAACAGAGTGCCTAATTCACTAAAACCCTGATTCAATATAAAAACTTAGTGTTGATATTATTTTCTGTCAGATGAAGTGTTGTTGTTAGGCATGTTTAGGGTAGTCCCATAAAATTATATTAAATAATAGATCATAACCTTCGATTAATCTTGTCCTATATTTGTTATAACTTTCATGTTAAGGTGCATATTTACAAATTAATAACCCTCTCTCTCTGACTTGGCATATTCAACTTCTAGCTCAATATACCATATTTTTAAACTTGTACACCTGTAGTTCTGTTTCATAATTGACTATACTGCAAACCTGTATTTGATTACTAAGGTGTTGGATTAGGGAGATATTTTCAAATGGTTTATAAGGGTTCAGTTAAAATCGTTACTTGTTCATGGATGTATTGAATATTTTCTACAATTATGTAATGATTTGTTAGGCAAAGCATAGTATTGAGTTGATATTAATTTTTACTATGTATATTTAGTACCGTTTATGGTTAATATTCTTCAGCAAAGTTCTTTTTACTGGATGGGTTTACTAACCCCATGCCAAACCCTTCTCCTTTATCCGAACTTAAGATTAATAGTAACCCTAGAAAATTCCTCCAGATAGAGTTAGATTATTTTTTCTTGAAAATCCAGCTTTAACTATTTCATTTAACAAGATCAAGTATTTATTTGTTCAGATTCCTAACATTCAAGAACAAGCAAGTGGCTATCAGGACTTAGTAGCTGAGTGGATAACGCGATGGCGTTTGAAGCGAAAGGTACTGGGTTCGAGTCCCAGAGTGAACATCAACTCTGAGATGCAGGTACATCCAGCTGACGAGTCCCAAATGGGAAGAAACGCGCGTCAAACTGGATTCCACTGCTAGCCACTATCCATCCTTGTTTACAAAGATAGTAGTTTGTTTCATAATTTCTCATCAAACATTACTACTAATAATCTTGATTTAAGTTGTAGTGCAATGCTTCGCTAAGCTTTCACCTCGATAACCGTTGTACAAATATTAACGGTGCATAAAATCAGAAGGTAAAAAGAAGCTGCAACTACAGTTTATTATCAAATAACACAGGCCACAAAGCTACAAGCACATGAGTAAGTATCAGCGAGCAAGTGGGAGCAATTACATAGGTAAATTTATAGGATTTAAGTGCGTACACATATGGGGAGGAGTATGAATCATCGAATGATATTTAAGTAATCAACGTTTTGGCTAAAGTCTGTCATCTGTAGTGATCATAACAGTACAAAGGTATATACGAATTGTTACTATCCCAATGAACAATGTCTGTTAAGTAATTTAGTAAATAGGCTTAACCATAATCGAAATTGGTTGTAGGATAGTTGCTATAGCGTGTAACTGTTTGATTTTCCCAACTTTTTCTTTCATTTATTTTCTTTCCGAAATTACTTGCATGGAAGTATGCAGTATGTAAATATATGTGTGTGCTTTGATTCTATTTATGTAATAAATCATCATTGATGAAATTCTAGAAAAGAAGTGTATTTCTACCCTTTTATTAAGTTGATAATAATTTATTATTCAACATAAATGTTTTTCATCAGAAGGGCGTTTCGTGGGTGTACTGGACGGATTAGTTGAGGTTAGACATTAACACCGCTGAATGCCGGCTAAATGGTCTATCGGTTAAGTGCTCTGGCGCGAGACTGGTGGGTCCTGGGCTCGAATCTCGCGAGGCGGGATTATGGATGCGTACTGCTGAGAAGTCCCACAATAGGACGAAATAGGCGTTCAGTACTTCCAAGTTTTCCATGGTAGTCTAGCTTCAATTGACTTATGATCTCAACTATATATAAATTTATTTATTTAATTTACTTTAACATTTTCTAGGTTTGCATGTATATTTACTACTTATATGTTTACTTATTAAAATAAACGTAATTTTTTTAAATATGTGAAATGATTGTTGAAAGGTTGTTGACAAGTTGAAACTTTCTGGATTTTATGGAATTCAATATCATGACATCTATTGTCATAGAGATGTAATTGTTGAGGTATTTTGATTAGAGGACTTACTGACTGAGATATTTACACTGATTCATTGATCTATTGACGAATAACAACCAATTTTATTGTTTATGTAGTCCTTTTACACTGGTTGACTTTTTTAAATCGATGTTGTCTTAATGCAGTTATTGAACTGATTCACTTGATATCGTATTCACTATGTTTGAATGAATGATGTATAATTGTGTATGTATGATGGGCAGTTATCAGGTTATACTCTGATTATGATACTATCTGATGCAGGTTTGTGTGGAAGTCGGACTTGAAACAAGTGAGAAACTAAGATTCACATAACGCAATTAATAAAACAAAGGTCCATGTCAAATAAAATTTTTATTCATCTTTCAAAAACACACTGAACAGATATCACATTAAACTAAACAGTTTGCGTTTTATCTCATTTTAACAGTTTGGAATCCTGAAGGATACATCAATCTCCTCACGATTACTGATACGCTTTACTAATGGATCCCAACTAATAAATCTAAGCTAAGGCAAAATCCAACCAACTTACATCAAAACGTGGTGAATATGATATCGAGTTAGACTAGCGATCACATTTGAACTTAGTCAATAGAATTCGGTCAAAACTAAAGGGTTAGGCAAACATAGGGTTGATTGCTACTCTAAATGGTCGTCGATCAAATTACAAACCACGATATATAAGAGAATAATTTTTGACATTGATTTTTCTTGATACCACAAGATTTTAACATCGCGGAAACAATGTTATTTTTTATTCGTAGTGTGGTTAATCATTCTTTTAAAATTCATTTAGAAGTTTCTCTAGATCCTACGTATTTATCCATCTTAGATAAACAGATGTACGCTCTCACCTCTGGGCAACCATTACCATTTACAACCTAATCAGATAGACATTCGACTGATATGTATTCACTATATATTCTTTGTGGCATTTATTTAGAAAAGAATGCACACTACACCGTTTTTTCTCCTTAAAGTCACTTCTCTTTGGCTATTCTCTTTTGTTGCTTGTTTATCTTTTTTCTTCTGCCGCGATTTACTCTCCTTGAATCACCTCCACTACCCCCTTATCCCATATTCATTACAGATTTAAATACATCAGGTGAATTAAGTCTACATTCAGATATTACTTGTGAACAATTGAATTCAGTTGAGGCTGATGTATTTTGGTGTACATCACATCTATTGGATACAATACAAGATAATTATACATTTGCTCAACCTGGCCTACAAAATAATATAAAGATGTTGGCTAGTTTAATTGAACGTATCGATACTAAATTATATCAACATTTTGTACAAAATGATGTTGAATTTTTACAATTTGCTTTTCGATGGATGAATAATTTATTAATACGTGAATTACCATTACGATGTATTATACGTTTATGGGATACTTATATGGTAAGTTGAACATTTTTTTTACTTGTCTTGTTGTATATGTTTGTTCACGATTTAGTCTACTGACGACACATTTATAGGAATTTCGTGAAGTACAGGTTTATGTAGTAGTCGACTTTGAACTATATCGTATTTTTGGTGTCTAGTCGGTCAGCCATTCCCGACCGTTGCTGCTACCTTGACGTGGTGTTCGGGCTTACCTATCGTGATGAACCAATCGAGATATACTGTCTGGAACAATCGTTCCTCAAGGTCCTACTATGTCAGGCAGGTCGGTCGAAGAGCGGTAAGACTAAAATCAGTAAACCCAAGTCGTACTGCTGACTGTACAGAGGTGTGACAGCAGTAAATTGTTTCCTTCAGACAACCAGCATGACAGCGATGCTGCCTTCCCACAAGGAGGGGTGTGGTTAGAAAAGGTCGACTCTAAAAATGCACACCTCGCCTTATCCCACGGATATCCTTCTCCGGCGGTAAGGTTCCAACAAGTACGGAGCTAACACAAGAACTACCCACAAAAAGGTCGTGTGTGACCGACCTGAAGCAGTTGCCCCTTGGGCACTGCGGTCACGCTCTCAGATCATTAAGACCACTTCTAACCCAATTTCCTTTTCAGGTACCTCTAGAAGAACCGTTTTACGGTGTGGGCAACCGGGAAGTGATAACTGCCTTCACAGCTTTAACAGCACTCAAGATCACTGTGTTCATAATCAATCTCCTTCTTCAATTCCTACTATTCCTCGTAGGTCGACTTTTAACTCTAAAATTCCTCTTAAAGTATCACAACTCTATCAGGGATCGAATCAAGTATTTTCTGTTCTTTCTTATCACTAATTTTTAAAGTCTATATTTGTTGAAGTCAGTCAATTCGCGACACACTCTATTCATTATCTAACATCATCCATGATGGCTATTTTACTTCTCCAGGCACAAGTCCTCGCTAAAATTAGTTTAAGCTATATCAATTGTAGCCACTGATAAGCGCATAATTATTACTTAGCTGGATCTACCCGAATTTGGTGCTGATGATGTCGTTCAGAAGGACGATGAAAGCTCCACGACTAAATCATCCAGCTTAAAGAACAAAATCACCCACCTAAGCTACAAATCTTCTCCACCATCTCAAGTATGAAATCGTATTAACTTGGTTTGTTGTATACAATGCTTTCATAGTTTATCGCATGATATATATATATGAATCATATATTTAATTAGTAATTTCTTTTTATTATTCAATTATTGTATACTCAGTCAGAAAATAGTGGATTTTCAAATTTTCACGTTTATGTCTGTGCAGCCTTCTTATTACAATTCTCCAATGATCTTTGCCGTGAACAAGATTTTCAAGGTATTATGTTATTATTACAACATTTACCAACATTTCATTGGACTGATGAAAATATTAAATTAGTATTAGCTGAAGCGTTTCGTCTACATTCATTATTTAATTCAGCTATGCATCATTTAGATTTTCGACGTCATTCAGATTTGGATTAAAAATCAACCAATACTCCAGTTGTTGTACTTTATCTCATCTTCTGTCTCTCTCTCTCTCTGTGTGTGTTTATCTGGTTGTGTACAGATAAGTATTATCAATTCTTTGAAGACAAATACACAAGTACTTGTATGTATTGTAAAATAAAGGGAAGAAAAGTCTTTCTTACGTCCTCCTCGCTTTTTTAAAATAGTCGTTTAACAACTCCTACTGTTACACTTTATTTCCCATCAACTATTCAACTACTTTTTCAGTGTAATAGTAATAGTAGTAGTAGTAGTAGTAGTCATATATAATCTCCAAATAAACTTCTTCCATCTACTTCTACTACACATCGGTTATCTCTTATTGTTTATTAAATAATTTAGTTTGATTTTTGTATGTAGTAAAGTATTATTTTTTTCCTTTCTTATATGCTTACAATGATAATTGAACCTCATGTGCTGTTGTTTACTCCTACTTATCGACGATGACAGTATATTCAACTTGTATTCAGTGTTATATATAGATATGGATAGTTTGTTTATTCCTTCGTATAATCTTCAGTTGTATCTCCACGAAAATACAATTTATCTCCTAACAATACTATATTACAGCTATTAATATTATTGATACTGCTATTTTGCTAACTTACATTCTCAATATTTATGGGAATAGATGTTTTGCTTTCCCATTGAAAGATATCTTACATGTAAAGTTGTCAAGGGAATGTTAACACAACTAAAAGTTTTAATGTGTCTTTCAACTTTCTATTATGCGCATGATAACATACGTGATCTTCCTTGTGTTGTTATAATGTGCCTCTGTATTTATGAATATATATATATATATATATATATATATATATATATATATATATATATATATATATATATATATATATATACTTCTAATACCCTAACAAGTGTTTTGTATGCATTTTTGTAGAATATTTTGTGACCTCTCCGCCTATGGGAAAAATAAGCATACATTACCAGTTATAATCAGTATTTTTTATCAATATTCTTCGGTATGTTCCACAGTTGTTTTTTTCTTACTGTGAAGTATTTGCATAGTATTATTGCCTTCAAGTGAATAATTCCTACCATCTAGGAATATGGATGGAGATGATATAATCTTCCATTTGTTAACGATATATATATATATATATATATATATATATATATATATATACTTAAAATATAAGTTTTTGATTTGGAAGATATGTTTTACCTTAGTAATCACATATATGCAGCCCAGTTTTTGTTATTGTTACGTTGAAAACTATACATAAGACTAAATTCACTTAGTATTGTTTGTTTGAATTTTCCCTGTTGATGTTTAGGACTGAAAACGGGTCAGTCACATCGACAACTTCACTTATCCTGGAAGTCTGATCAGCCCTAATGGGTTGGTGTCTGACAAAATCTCAGCATGGATTCAAAAAGCTCGTTTGGCTTTTGCTAACTTACGTCACCTATGGTGATAACGAGATATCTGTTTATCAATTAAGGGACGACTATACTGCGCAGCAGTTCGCTCTGTTCTACTTTACGGCTGTGAAACATGGCCATTAAGAGTAGAAGATACTAGTAGGTTACTAGTATTTGACCACAGATGTCTTAGAAATATTGTTCGCATCTGCTGGGATCACAGGGTAAGTAATAGTGATATTCGACACAGGGTATTAGGAATGATGGTAAATCAGTTGATGAGGTGATGAATTTTCATCAATTGAGATGGTTAGGCCATATGTTACGTATGCCTGAACACTGATTACCACGATGCGCTATGCTGACTAGTATTGGGGATGGTTGTAACTAAGTTAAGGGCGGCCAAATCAAAACATGGCATCAGTGTTTGAAGTCACTAACTTGTAGTCTGAGCCATGTTGGCAGATGCAGACTACTTGGTTGGGGTGCGCGTGATTATCGTAACCAATGGTTGGAGACTCTGTGTGACATGGCTCAGAATCGATCACAATGGCGTAGGTGTATACACTCTTTATCTTCCCTTAAACCTTGAGATTAAAATTGCTTCATAACTACCTTCCTTCGTATATTATATCCTTACATACAACCTATCTTTTATATACTACCACCACTAAATTAATTACTTCTATGAATCCAGTGTTCATCTTGTTGTGCTAATGAGGTAAGGCAACTTGGACCGATGCATATATTTGTCTGGTCCTACATTGTAGCTGACTGACTGAACTGTTCAGTCTCTTATTGGCATATGTTTGTACTGTGTGCATTGCCTCGATATAGCCTTAATTCACTAGCATTATAAGCAAAGATGAATACTGGCTAGCAGTGGAATCCAGTTTGACGCGCATTTCGTCCTACTATATATCACTTCTTAGTTAAGGTCTACAAGATAAGTTTACTAAGTTATTTTTAGATTGTTGTATTTTCATTTATATAGTTCTTCAAAATTTTTCTGAATTCCAATAAACATAGTCACCTAGGATATATCAGTTATCATGTGATTTTTAATATCTTGGTATGTATGGTAATGATTTTTAACTGTTTTAAGACTCTCTACTTGAAGAAAGAAAAGTGAAGATTTTCAGTTTCGTGTGTTTGTTATTTATTGTGTATACGAACGTCTTAGTGTTGGTTTGACTTTCACAAAGTTTATTAAATGATTCAGTATCCAGGATAGTCATATTTGTTTCAACACATTAACATTTGTACAAGGAAGCATCAAATATATATGCGCCACACTTCGTCATTCGACTTATGTGATGGCTGGAATACTGGTTGGGTGCCCAAACCAAAGCAGGGGCCACTCCCCGAGCCTTTGACATATGATTTTAATACATGAGGTAGTAGAGCAATGGCGGAAACGTTAGTCCCGTGGTAGCTGATGGCCAACAATAGTTTCATGTTCCATCTGTCCCCTCAGGATCCTGGAACACATATACATCATTGGTTTGGAATCAGGGTTTTTATACTCCTCTAGGTGGACCCTCCGTTTCCACCAACCTGGTTAAAGCCTCGGACATTCGCTTTTTCTCCTCTCGTTTTCCTAAACAACCCCCACCTCGGTAAGGCAGTGAGTAGGACTTCCCTGGCAGAGGCTATACATGCGTGGCCACGTGAGAGCATTTGGAGAGGAAGAGCAGACTCTCCCCGCTCTCAGCCGTACCAGGGCTGACTATGATTTATAAATGAATGAACCAATCAGATTTAGGATAACAGGTCTTGGATTTCAAGGTGCAAATTTAATCCACTATTTTGTCTAAATAGCATTTGACCATTCTAACTGGCGTGTGTGTGTCAGTTTGTGATGAAAACCATAAATGTAAATGGTAATCCTTACCCCATCAACTGTATATCATAATCCTTATTCTATTCTTCACACTTCTTTACAAGCCTTATTTAGCCGTATGGACATTGTTCTCATGATCAACCCCTAAGACCGTCAACTTATTTATCGACACATCAGTGCATTATTATCATAACTGCGAAAGGAGAACTATCCCATAATCACAGTGGTTTTCTACATCGTGACGTCTCATCACATCACACAAAAACGATATTGTTTATGTTGATCATTATCTAAACCCAGGATATGAGTGATGTCAGGAAATAAGCATAATTCCGAAGTATTTTAATCACATTTCAGCTCAACACGTGAAAAATGTCAACAACTGTCTGTAGCGTACTGATATTCCTCTAGATGGTTTACAAAATAGATGATTTTCTGCAGTAATAGAAAGTTATACAATTCCTTTAGAACTATGACGAGTATCATAACCGTATTTAGTGCTAAATTAATAAATAAGAAAGGTTGTTACCCCGAATTTCCTTACGAATGTCAATGTTAGTGCAAACATGATACAGAATTTGGGACAGTCCCAGTTTTGTTTCTACCAGAGGATGAATATGTAGCTGTTGGGATACAATGACAATAGTATCTAGTTGAGTCAGAGCATTGGAAATATTTATGACAAAATAAATGGAACGACGTACAAGGTATTCATAACTGACATTTTTAACTTATCCTTAATATTTGTAGCTTTTCAGTAGTGATACTAACTCATCGTGTATCTATCACAGAAGTAGGCTATCAATGTTTCTAAACAAAGCGCACTGAGATTTAAATGAAATCTGTTCCAGTTTAGGAAGTGCTCTCTAATAGTCGGGTACAAGATAATAACAATCGGCGGGCACACACGTTATAACAATTGGCAACGGGGTAAAAAATGAATCAAAGTCAGCCTGTGATTGGTCGATGATCAGGTAATTATTTCATACTATCAGCATTCAGAATTGTCGTTGGTATCCTTGAACGACATTGGTCATTAGTCATACAGTATCTTTCCTTACCGTGCTGATTTACCCAGAAGCAGAAAATGACCCGCACTTAGGACCAATTGCCAATCGCTGTTCCAGTGACAGGAGCATGGTTTCAAAAAGAGTCAGATGGAATTCATTGACAAATTACACACAAAGCTGCTGAATCACCCATGCTTTGGGGGTTTGACGGAAGTTAACGGATTAATTTCTAAATTGCATACAGAGTTTGAAAATGACTGCAGAATGAATGAATGTGCCGGTGAAAGCCTCCATGAATCCATGATAAACAGTAATTTAAACAAAGCAGTAGCAGTCACACATGATCAACCCAGTAGTCCAGTACTGTCTATTTGATAGAAATGCCCTATAGTCGGGTCCAATAATGATTCATATTGCAGAGGCTGTTATTGGTGTTTTGGACTTAACTGGCTGGGCTAGGCAGATAGCACGGCCAATAAGTGCTCTATACTGCTCGTACGGGTTTTATTTGTCATTGGTCCGATCAATAAATCACTGCTTTCTAATTGGCCGCATCGTCACGTCATATCTAAACAGGGCACTCAGGCACACGTTATAACAGGAAGAACTACAGTCATTTATGAAACTTGGGCGTACTAGTTTAAGAACTTACTTTTCGTCAATTCATTCACAGGTTTAGCCAAACCTTATTTGATCAGTATGACTACTGGTCTTATACATGGATATATGTCTGGATGATATATTGTATTACATATTTCTGTTTTAAGAAACTACTCATCAGTCAAAGTTGGAACTGTGAATCATCAAATTCCAAATAAAACTGCAAATCTTCAGTTCAACTCCTGGCTTCGTTTTAAATGCTCACTGCTTCATCGACCTCATGACTTCCGAAGGAACTCGGCTTACATCATGAGGTGTCATAATTCTTCCTTCAACTCTCAGTGCAGAGTTTAAGTAGTTTGAATTATTTTTTTTGTGGTCAGCGCTTTCTTTAGCGAGTTAGTTTTCTAAGAGATTGGGTCGCTAATCCCATGCCCAACCCTCCTCCTTTGTGTTGACTTGGGACTGGCAGTAGCCCCTGGAGGAGCCACAGGCGGAGTTTGTAGAATTCTATGTTACAGCAAAACCGATGATTCGAAGTCATAGTACCAATATTAGTAACATTTTATGGATCCTTCTTGAAGTTAAATAATCCATAATAAGTTCATATATTTTCTTTAAATAATTACGGACGACCTATAAATTCCTTTTTTATTTAATAACCATAATGATTATGAAAAATATTTGATTAATATATGTATAAACTTGTTACTATGATAGAAAGGAATACAGAATGCTTTTAGTAATAATCATAAACTTTTCTCGGTTACTTAATCACTGGATCTTTGTATGTGTATATATATATCTATATACACATGTTTGTACGTATGTGTTGTATTATACATTTTCAGTCTCATTTACTAATTTGAAAAGAAGATACTAAATGAGACTGAAAATGTATAGTACAACACATACGTACAAATATATGTATATACAACAGACACACACAAAGATCCAATCATTAAGTAAC